GTAATTTTGACTGAAAGAGTTTTCCCAGTTTAAAGAACAAATAAATAAAAAAAAGATGTGTATAAGAGACAGGCCTGCTATAGCGCGCAACGGTATCTGAGGGCCGTAGGCCCGAGCCAGGGGGTGGGTATAGGAGGAGGTGTCCCCTCCTCCCAAAACCAGATAAAAAAAAATTGGGACTTCTAGATGGCCGGAAATGGCTAGGATGGGAAAGCTAGACCTATTTTATTTATTTATTTTTTTCTTTTTGGTCCGACTGCCCGACGAGCTTTGGCCGATGGGGGGGGGGACTTGACCAGACCGATGGGGGGGACCTTAAGTCTCCCTGCTTCCCGCTGGCGCCGCCACTGGTCAGGATGATGAGAAAACTTAACAGGAAAAAATTGCAGTTTTTTGCTTGGCTGGGACTTGCCCAACTGACTTGGTGGATGTAAGCCTACTCACCACTCAAAAAGAACGTACAGATATGAACACTCTTGCAACTCGATCCAAGAACACAAGTGTCAAATAAAATATCGTAAGATTTCGTACAAACTTTAATATCGAAACAATACTCGCAAATTGTACTTTCTCCATCCTTGGTCAGCTTTACTTTTGTTGGATATCTGCTGAGTAATTTCTCAAGTTCAACCTCATCAGTATTGTAGCCTGTTTCGTGAAGGTATTTAACTAGGCGTCTCAGACTCCTCGACTTGCGTGGACAGAGAACTGCGAGCACATCACTCAATGATACTGGGTGCGATGAACGAGGCATAAACCTATGCCTACTCGTATCATCACTATGTTTACGTTTACGTCTATACATTGTACAAAAGACAAGTGTTGTGTCCTGGTCCGTCGTTCATTAAATTCTAGTTTATTACAATTATTGATGATTTTTCCAACCTGCATTAACAATACGCAGAAAAGGTCGTATAACGATGGGAAATTCCCAGTATTATAGACTCTTTTAACAGGCGCTGTATAAGAACATGACCCCCTGCTTATTTAACTGTAACGTTGTACGTCAGCACATTTATATATTGAATAATGAGTAATAAGGATTTACAACAGTACAGTACCATGCATATAAAAGCAAGGAATTAAGCAGCAAATGTTATTCATGCTACTGCATTGAAAATTATCTAGCGTGAAAATATTTGTTTATTGGTTTATTTATTTCAGTGAGTTGACGTTTCTCCGTTTTATGATAAAGATAACAGAAAAAGACTAGCATGAAATTCGTCATGAACCCTTACCCTGGTTTTCTTTTTAATTATGCCAAATCTTAGCTTTAAGCTCATAATAGAGTTCCTGTGTTTATCAAACGCATGTTCACACTTAATTGTTTCTGGCGCTGCGCTTTTTTGTTTTAAAAATCCTATATTTTTACTTTTTCAATTTGTTTTACTTCTACGTTATGTGCTTTTGCAGTAGCATCATTTGCAAATTCTGATTTTTCAAGAACTCCCAAAACTGTAATTTTTCAAGTTATATTAAGACTGTTTTTGAAGACCTTGTCCAGTTTCCCATTCAATATGACAGTATACCTACGGTAATGTCCGGTTAACTTCTGATGTTCCAGATTTTAAGCAGGGACTTTCAACAAAACCTCCAGAAACTCGATTTCAGGGACTTTGAGTCGGAGTTGTTAAGTTTGGTAGTAGATTTGGTACTTGATCTGGTTTAATGAACTTAAACTTCACTTGTTCAATCTTACATTCTGAGATTAAGTTTCATGCTAGAAGTCAATTTATATATTTTCTACATTATTTTATTGGTATTTTAGACTGCTTTTGTATTTTTATATTTTATCTGTGTTGTATATTGGGCACTCTCGGAGAACAGTAATTTTGACTGAAAGAGTTTTCCCAGTTTAAAGAACAAATAAATAAAAAATTATTGTGTTTTTTATTAGGCGCAAGTATTTAAGTGGTGTTGCCACTATTATCAACGCATGGATATCTACCCCGTATGGAACTTTCCAGTGTATTGCGATTTTAAATAACTTCGTATTAACACTCTCAAAAACACAAATAAATATAAAACATTTTAAGAATAGGGATACTGTAATTGTTAAGCGTACTCATTAATGAGTTCTGTATCATCAAATATAAAAAAAAAGTTATCAATACGTTGGTTATCGAGTCTATGTTACTATTTCGGAAAAAAGAAAATTTCCAATTCATCAAGACGTCACAGCCTCGTGCGACAATTCTCTTTTGACTGAGTAATGCTCTTGATTTGATACGGCTGAGCTTCTATTAACCAAGCTAAAGTTTGCAGTACATTGCTTTTCCAAAGTAGCGTTTTAACTGAACTTTACAGCCGTATCTACATTGTGAAAATTACCATTAGATAAAAATAGTATAACTAATATAAATATGACAAGATTTAGTGTGTTTTTTTTTTCAATTGGTAATGATTAGGTTTAAAATCTTAAACATGTTCATCGGTTGATAAACCAGAGTTATCAGTGACTACACTAATAACTCCGTGGATAAACCAGGAAACAGTAAGAACTATGGACAGCTGTAGAGGCGCTCAGCCGTAACAACCGCTTGTAGAAAAAGGTAGACTAGTGTAATGTTGTATAGGTGGAGACACAGTACAATACAATGCGTCATAGCGTAAAAATAGAATGAATTGATGATTGATTTAATGTAAATTACCCGTACTATTTTGAAACATGGGAATTCCACATTTCCATTTGCCCTATACAGTATATAAAATGCGTCACAAAGAGCAGGGAGTGACTATATATAGCACCCGATCAAGGAGGACAGATAAAGTGTATTGTGCAAATGGATAACCGATGTCTGTTAGGGGCACCTGTTGTACACATCACTCAAAATGCTGTATGCGATATTCTGAATTACCGCAGACGACGATCGAATCTGAAAGAAAGCATGAAAAATCTCTTGAACAGCTATTCTAGTTATTCTCTACGCTATGGTATTGGAGATACAGATTTCAACGATCCTACGAACCAAGCATGTTATGTCTTTCTATATTTTCCCGCATTGTGCTATGGCACGCTCCATGGCTTATTGGAATGTCGAAGATACTTAACAACAGTTCTAGTAGAAAAACCTTTAACAGACAGGTGTCTAAAAGTCTGTGCATTGGGCGGAGGACCTGGGACAGACTTATTTGGTGTTAGAATGTTTTTGAACGCTACTGGATATGGAGACGTTCCGATCAAAGCGACTGTTCTCGATAAGTATCCCAAATGGTGTCTCGCATTTCAGTGCTTATCATTACAGTTACATCATTCATCCTGTAGGCCTATGCCTATATCTGCCGAATATATTCACCTGGAAGTCAATAGTCAGAGTGTTCATTCAATCCCAATTGATTCCATAGCCGATGCTGATTTGATTACATGTAGCAAGTTTGTATCAGCCGTGAGGGCGTTACCCAACTCAAGAGAGATGATTTTAGCGGTACTAAGAAGCGTTAAACCCGATGCGTACATATTCTATATGGACAATTCAAAGGGAGATAACACGGAATACTTTCGTTCTATTGCTACGTATGCAAACTGTACTGAAGTAACTTCTTTTGTACGAGATGGGGATAATCAATTTCGACTACCAAAAACAGAGCAATCAAACATTTTACAAAATTTATCTAGATGGTTTGACATTAATTCACAGCGTAACCTTCGCGTTACTTTTATGATGTGGAAAAAGAATCAAACGTCATTTTCACAACATAGGCCTACATGTAAGTATCAAAGTACACATTCAAGGCCGGGTAGCAATAACTTCATGAACGTGTTTGGTTCAACACGTCAACTGCAAAATAAGAGCAACTCTGATCTTTCTCCTCAAAAAGTAAACATACCGTTCGTGGCAGATAATTTGCGAGCAAAGACGCATGCTCAACCTTGCAGTAACGATTACAATGTATCCGCTACTAACCAATTACATAATCCAATGCGAGAGGCCCAACATAAAAGTTACGTGCCAAAAACGGAATCATTGACGCGTCTTACAGATACAATAACGTCAGGTTCAACACATCCATTGTTAACTCAGGGAACTTTTCGTCCTTCTCGGCTACATCATAGGCCATTTACATCCAGTCTTCAAGGAACGAAGACTAATAGTGGTATTTCACAAGTACAAGTACCAACTGCGAAAACACCTAACCAATATTTTAGTCAAACACGAGATTCTGTTAAGTTGAATTCTGTACAAACCAGGTCAGAGCCACATCGCAATATCCATGTAACTTATCTAACACATCCACCGAAAACCCAAAGCGCAATACTGCCGCAAGCGTTAACGCAACCATATCGCAGTACAAACTATCACACTTCAACATTTAGTCCAGATGTTAGTACACAACCGGACACACACTATGCCGACGATCGTCGGAGGTCAACGCCACATCACAGAATCGCTGCAATACCGATGCAAGCGTTAATGCAACCATATCGCAGTACAAACAATTATAATGCATCATATAGTCCAATTCGAGATGTCAGTATTTTGCCGGACACATACTGTGCCGACGACCGACCGCCGACGCGATTCCATGGACACTGGAAAGCGACCAGGCCAGCGCAAATGTTCGTTTGTAATGATCCCCTTACTCAGACTGTCGCAAATAATCAGCAGACGGGGTCGCGGTCGCGTCGCCAGCACTTACTGGGAGAACATTATCGATTCGTCGGTCGACGGTCAGACCTACCTTAAGAAGGTTGTCCATACAATTTCATAAATGGCGATTGGACACGGACGTGTTTACACAGCGCTCAGTGAATTACTGATCTAGATCATGGCCTGCAAAAATACTCGGAAGCGTAGGAAGTGATGTGTATAGACAGGAGTCTTAGGCTGGGTCCTTAAAGTTTAGAAAAATGGAAGAGCAAGAGGAAGTAGTGAAGTTTAGTTCGTATAATGTTAGAAATGAAGTATATAGAGCGAAGCCATAATAAATCATACTGGAATAAACAGATGTTCAGGCCATCAAGGCGTATTGCAAAAAACAAGAGGCTTTTAGTGTCCATACAACTAGTCCTAATTTATGAAACTCATTTGCGACGGTCCAGTTACTTTTTAAAGGATGCCTAATATCTTAATCAATTTCTAACTCCATAAATATGATTCTGTCCAGACTTTACTGTTTATTAAGTTTGTATACTGAGTTTACCTTATTTCTTATAGTTTACTATAATCTTTCATTAGATAATTCATTAGTAAAAATAAAGATTTACATGTTCTTTTGTGTAATATTGGCTAGTAAAGCATCATTTCCTATTGCATATACATTTTTTTCTTGTTAATGTATTGCAAAGAAACATGGTCCTACCATAGAGGTATTAGTCAGATGTAAATGTTGTATTACTCACTAGATTTAAACAGGCAACTTTAAGGAGTGCAATTTGATTGCCTAAAAATTGCATAAACTAGACCTAAAACATACATGAAGAAATTTGATTAGTGAAACAGGTACTGGAGGACCGGAGGTGGTTATGAAGTGGCCGATAGTTTAGACGCTACAATTTGTGTGATGATGGAAAAGGTTTACCGACAGATTTGTGGTTGAAATCGAGGAGAATGTTATATTGGTGGCTAGCGGTGGGATATAGATTCGCTTTTGCAAACATTTTCGTCACAATTCAGTTTTTAACTAAGGAATTTTTGATGATGTTTTTAAGAAATAAAGATAACTTGATATTTACTATGCCACTGTCGTCCTCAATACCAATGAATAGTCACAGCTTCCTAAATGTTTAACCCGTATTTAAGGGGGAAATTTCAAGTTGTCAGTTAATTTTCTCTAAATAAAAGTGTACACCTATTAAGGGGGCACTTTTTTTGGTCTCGAAAGTTTCCTCTTACTAGGGGTTGTACTTTACAGTAATGATATATTGTGTTACAGAGTACTATTGTATTACCTTCTTTAATATAAGTGAAATTTATTTTTCCTGTTATGCTGTTATGCATTCAACATTCAATTTAACACTTACCTCAACATTTCAACATTTGTTATCAAACATGGAAAACGTTATAAGCAAACCAAAGAAAATGATGCATAAGACTCTTCGAAGGCAGTTAATTTGTACATTATAAATGAAATGAAAGTAAACTAAAATGCACCAAAGTGGAACTTTTATTTTATTTTATAATTAAAACAAATCCTCATTTATTCTTAAAGACAAGGACCAAAACACGCAGTAACCAATTACAGTATTTAGATTTTTTAGAAAACTTCGGAGTTTAGCAGGTAGTGCAGCATGTGTTAAAATGGACCAAGTGAGACTGAGCCGCTTTAAGATTCAGATATCTTTATTATCCATAATTATATTTCTGGCGGGAACAATTATAAATATATTTATAAATGAAAGACATACACTCGTTTCGAATTGACCATTGAACAATGTCAACAATAATATTGTATATTAGTTTTATATACTTCAACTAAATAAAATGAAATGGATCACACCTGGCGTCATTAGACTATGTACGACCGTGATGCAAAACTCTTATCCGATAAAAATGGCAGCCAAATACCATTTAAAATGGTCCATTTAAAAAATGCCAATACATAAGATAATAAAAAGCACATTATTAAAATAAATTTTTCCTTCATTCCAGACTTCAGATAATTTCTTTAAATCGCACAAACACCAGTAAAAATTATCACCAAAACTTGATGATGAAATACGTTAATTTTTACACCTCATTTTGTGTTTTTCTTTTTTGTTTTTTATTTATTTATTTCTTTTTTGTTTATTTATTCTAACCTATTCTTGGCTTATTTTAAAGCGAGAAAAATGTTTTTCTTTGCGTGGTCTCTATACATAGGCTATATCAATTATATTTGACCTCCAGTTCAGCCTTGTAATTTTGCTTAAAGATGTCATATGGAAGTGATAGTGCCCTTAGAGGCCTACAAACTTCGATCAGAGCATGGAGGTATTATACCTCCATGATCAGAGCATGTCTTTGTAATGTTCATAGCAAACTGAAGAGATCCCCATAGCTGACTTGGTCGCCTGGAGCGAGGGTGTGTGTGTAATGTTCATGAGCGACCCTCATTATAATACTGTACAATGGATATCAGCCTACTATAATTACACAATGTGCAGGGTATCGTGAAATGTATACGATATTTAAAACAAAACATGTGTTACGAATACACATGATGCAATATTTTATCATTATATTTTTAAAATAGGCCTACAAATTAATGAATACCATAGTGTTGCGAGTAACATACTGCTGGTATAACTTTAATTTTACTTTTTGCCCTAACCCCAAAAATTGTATAAACATTTAATTACTATTTTATATTTATACCTGCCATAGCTACCAACCTGAGAGATTTGAAATGCGTGGGTGACCAGTTGGTTGTGAGGGGGGGGGGGTCTAAGCGCCAGAACCACGGCCCCCGCCGCTCCGACGATCTGAGATGATTTTTAAGCCGTTTTAAAACGATTTTAGGGAGTGTTTGTTGATAATACGGGTACACAAGCAAAAATATTAATAAAGCCACGTACAATTTGAGTTTTAATGTAGGCCTATGATTACCCGAACTATGTATACCTACAAAAACATGTTATATTTTTAATAAAACCAATTTCTTCTAATTTTAAATATATTTTTCCCTGACATTCGTGATAATTCGTTATCACGCATAGACTTGTGTTAAATGCATGACAAATTTAGGATCACGCATGTGTTTCTGCAAAACGCGTGTTTCGTCCAAAATCACTCTGAAATGCAGGACCGTCCCGAACGATGCGAGACGGTTAGCAACAATGGACCTCTAAATATATTTAAAAACATCTAAATTACGAAAATTAAATGTTCTCAAAAATTGAAATGTACATTATACTAACGGAGTTGAGAAACTATTAAATGACATAAATCGTAGTAAAGCTCCAGGACCAGACGCAATACCATTTAGAATCCTCAGGAGTGTTCATCTTCACTAGCTCCGATTTTCACCAAAAAAAAATTTCAGAAGTCGCTTGATTCTGGATCCCTTCCAAAAGCATGGTTAGAAGCCAATATAACGCCTCTGTACAAAAAATGGGAAAGAATGGACCCTTCTAAATACAGACCGATCTCTCTGATTTCAATTCCTTGTGAGATCTTGGAACACATTCTGCATCACCATTTGATGGCTCATTTTGAATAATTTAATATTTCAACCAATGTGCAACATGGATTTCGCAATTAAAGGTCGCTCTTGTGATACCGAGCTATCTGCTTGGGTAAATGACCTCGCTATGGCACTTGACAACAGAGGCCAGGTGGATCTAATTATAATGGATTTCATTTGACTCGGTGCCTCACCTACCCTAGTAGCCAGACCAGGTTTTGAATGCACTGTGAGGTCCAGAGAATTTGACTTCAGAAATTGGTTTAGGGTGGTCTAAGAATCATTTTTGGCTTGGTAACACATTTCCAAAATGTGACAAAAGGTCAGGGTCAAAAGTCATAGCTATAGGGTCGTCATATCTCCGCAACCACTGGTGGTAGAGAGTTAATTTTGGTGCCTATTTGTTTAGAACATTCATGTTTCTATTTGCTCTAATGGAACATTTCCAAAAAATGACCGGAAATGCGGTTTCTAACGTTTGACACGTTTCAAGGTCATAGCAATAGGGTCATTATATCTCCACAACCACTGGTGGTAAAGAGTTAATTGTGGTGTCAATATGTTTGGGACTTTAATGTTTCTCTTTGGTCTAATAGAAAAGTTTGCTAGAAAATGACCGGAAATGCTGTTTTTGATCCTTGACATGTTTCAAATGTCATAGTTATTGAGTCCTTATTATCGCCACAACCACTGGAGGTAGAGAGTTAATTTTGGTGCCAATTTGTTCGGAATAGAGACACCACAATTTAACTCTTTACCACCAGTGGTTGCGGATATATAATGACCCTATTGCTATGACCTTGATACGTGTCAAATGTTAGAAACATCTTTTACCGGTCATTCTTTAGCAAAATGTTCCATTAGAGCAAATAGAAACATGAATGTACTGAACGCATAGGCACCAAAATTAATTCTCTACCACCAGTGGTTACGGAGGTATGACGACCTTATATCTATGACCTTTGACCCTGACCTTTCGCCACAGTTTGAAAATGTGTTACCAAGCCAAAAATAATTCTTAGAGCACCCTAAACCAATTTCTGAAGTCAAAATCTCTGGACCTCAAAGTGCATACAAAACCTGGTCTGGCTACTAGGGTAACCAGCGTCTCTTAAAGAAACTTGA